GAGTCGGATGCTTCAAACATGAAGTGCACATCTGGAAGGGGCTTAAGGATACAGATGCTCTACACCGAAACACCTTATACTTGACCTGATTGCAAACACCTTGTTGTGTGAGGCAAAGTCTTTGTTTAAACTTTCTGAAAAAGGAAGATACTTATCGCACAAACACACACAACGGCAAAGTCACTGACAAGCTTGAAACCTCCAAACTCATTTGCTGCCATCACACACACAGACACACGTTTTCTGTGCAGTCTGAAGGGGCCAGGAAACACACCAACTCCACAGCCACACACTCCGGAGCATCAACTCTCAGACAACTTCATCTCTCCGTCTCACAATCCCTTGTTCAAACTTGACAAATCACCATGGTAACACAAAGCCAGCCAGCAACCCAAGAAGCGTGGCATCATCACCATGACGACCAGATCTACGGCCACTTGAAAGGAGAGCCGAGTGGTTGTAAGTGCGCTCTTTATTTCTTTTATGTCGGCCTCAAACAACATGACACTAGATAATGTGAAAAGGCTCCACTTGAAATTAACAGCTCAACAAACTGTAATTTAGAAACACAAACACTGTGAGACAATAAGAGAAGTAAATCTGCGCATGTACCAGGTGTGAGGAGATGCAGGAGGAGGAGGAGGAGGAGGAGGAGGAGGGGGCAGGAGAGAGAGGAGATTGTGTTTTAAAGACAAACACCTGCCTTGCTTGCATCTTACTGAGACAATGAGGAGAGAGCATGGTGGCTCCCGGTGGCCCCCTGAGGCCGAGGGCCCATCGGCACAAAGGCTCGTGTCAGCAGACGGCAGCTGCTGGGCTGGGTGACAGAGCACCCGGTTTGTTTTGGGGGACAAAGGCGAGCAGAGAGCCAGTGTCAACGCATCTAATCCCTCGGCAAGTCAAACCTCAACAGTCATCTGCCATAAGTTAGTGAGGCGAGATGCAGACAAAGGCTGAGGGACACCACCGTCATCGCTGACTCTGAATCAGCTCCTCTTCAACGCCATCAGTGCTTATCTGAACATGTGACACAGTACTGCTGGACTCAGCAATGAACCAACCAATGACTCACTTCACATCTGTGAAGTAAACTTCATCTCTTCCTGTTGTGCAAGATGAATACGCGTTAAATGAATAGAGAAGTGAGGCCTGGGAAAAGTTAAGAGGAGTTCTCTTTGTGCATTTATAATATATTGTGTCAAAATCTGATGACATCAGGTCAGTCAAATTTAGAAACTCCTCAGAGCCATGCATGATTCTATGAACTGAAGAAAAGGGAACCACATGCAGGTGTTAATAAGCACCTTACTGCTGATCAGCTTCTTGCTTCACTGCCTCAGGGAGTTGGGGGCGTGTCCTCTGTCATCGTGCGGAGCCTGGCTAGATTAGGCTGCTGGGAGGTTAAGCGAAGGCTGAGACCCACTGATCTACAAAGCTACTTTTAGCCCCGTCTCTACTTTTTACCCACCTGCACGCACCCACTCACACACACACTTGTCGCTTTGACTAGTCCCAATATTCACAGTCAGGAACACATTTGTATTAGTATCATTGTTAATAAATTGGGCTGAATAATCTAATTTCATCCTTACGTGAGCCCCAAAACTGCTCTGCTTTGAGGTGTAAACAGCACGGACATGACAGCGATGAAGTGGTTTCCTGATCATGTTAAGCAGCTTGTGGAGACCAGTGTAGAGAGACACTCCCCATGTCTGTCAGCTTAGTGGGTTTTCACCCCCTTACTGCAGCCGGCATCAGGCCACCCTGAGCCTCAAATCTCACTGTGGGTTTTGGCTCTGATTCACGATGACTGCAATAACATGATACAAGCATCCACATCCATTTTCATGATTTCGGCCACCTACATCCAATTAAAATAAAACTTAATGCTTACAGCATAAAAATCCAGCTGCATAAAGAAAATGGTTTTTCCCAGTTTGGTGTGGAAGAGCTGTACTGGCCTGAACTCAACCCCTTTCAAAGGGATTGGGATGAACTTGAACGTTGATATAACGGTTGCAACGGTTTCCTGCAAGCCAATCAGATATGGTCATTTTCTGTAGCTGTAGTATCATAAAATCTAAATCAAGAGTGTGACAACAGCACATTCCACCACAGCCACGAGGCTCGTGCCTCAGCGGTGGCTCATTAACAGGCTTAGCCTTGTTATGCTGGTCAGTCCCTGAGGGGACGGGGGGGAGGAGGGCAGATCCACTATTGTGTGTTATGCTCCCTCTCTCCATTCTGGTCCCTCTTCTATTGTCAAAGACGGAGGACAGATCTCTGTACTAACAACCTGTCAGCCGTGATAAAGACCCTCATCCTCGTCCACCATGAACCAAACAGCTGAGCCTGTGTTCATTCACCCTCTTTGTAATTTTTGCTTTGACTGGATATTTTGGTAACAGTTTCTAGTGTACTCCTTCTTATGATGTGTTGACAGTAAATCTGAAACCACCTTTTTCTCTCAGTTTCAGGTTTCCACTGACACCAAAGATGCCATTATACAGTGTGCAATTTTTACACTTAAGTTACTTTTATAACAGTTTTCTACCACTTATTCTAAATATAACTGCTGTTTGACCTATAACCAGAAGACAGATGTTTATCACCATGTTCACACCAAAACAGAGACGTGACAGGATGCCATTCATTGTAAACTCAACCTCAAAAAACATCCTGGTACTGCTACTTAAAAATCTCCAAAGATAGCCAGCGGCAGAATGTAGGGGAAGTTATGGTAAAGTTTTAATTTTAATGATCTCTGAAAACAATCAACCACACTCATCTTTATTCCCTCGTGAAACTAAACTATGTAAAAGTCCTTCAAGTAAAATGGAGAAAAATCTGAAGAGCTTCTCAGATCACGTGAGAAAGAAACTGCTTCATCATGAACTGCTATGGTGGCAACATAACAGTGCAGTGGGAGCTAGGTTTGTAAATCACATGCTCAACACAGACACGCCTACAAGCTTCAGGCTTGTAAGAGACAGGACACGGTCTGCCTCTTTGTATCTTTATGTGGGAACTGTATCTGTAGGTTAAAGTATGATTTATATCAATAATAGACACTGTCTTAAAACACACATTTATTGAGAAGAACTTGACCCTCAAATTTCTTCTTGGAAATAATAAGTGACAGAGAAACAGGCCGAGGAGAGATGTAGTGGCCATAGTCACTAAACAGCCGCCATATGGCAGATCTAAGTCGTTCTCATGGAGGATAAGTCACCCCCATCCCCCCACCCGCACTGGTTTAACCCATCTGCCTCCGAGAGGGCATTTCACTGCAGCTCAGCTTGACTCAGTTCAGTTTGTTCTGATTTTATATGTGGATTTTATAAATGTACCATCCACTGAACAGAATCATTTCACAGTCACCAAATAGGAAATTACCAGGAGCAGAACTCTGTCATCAGTTTGAACTCACTGACCTGTTGATTGTTAGAGATGTAACAGTAACGACTGTGCACTCCGCTACCCTGCAGCCGTTATGCACAGCGGGGACACGGCCAGTAATAATTACTGGACTGTTGGACAACAGGAAAACCAAGTTATTGAAGGACTGCAAGAAAGTACAAGCTGATGCTTGTTTCTGATATCAGCCTTGTTTGTATTGATACATAATTACCCAGAAAACAAAATCACACCATTCAAACTAAAGCAGACTGTAAGCTGAAGATTCATATTACAGTATCAGTTAAATAGTGAAGCCGAAAGTTACTAAACTCTTAGAGTATGAAGTCAGAATCTGCAAACTTACAGATGCTTGTTTTCCTTCTTTCCTTCATTCCTTCACACAACTTATTCATTTTTCCTGTGTACAACCAAGTGGCACACCATGAATGTCTTCCAGATGTGTGTCATTTGTCAGTGCCAGTTTATCACGCCAAGACTACAAATAGACAGACACAGAGGCATGTTCACTCAGCCTGTGACTGTATGCACACTTTTGCCTTCAGATGTAGTTTGTTTGTCTCATACTGAGGCTTTAACCATCACAGGTTCAGTTTTTTAGCAGGACATGATTACGCCTGCCATGTAAAACGAGACAGCCTCTCCGGCCAGTGGGTTCTTCTCTCTCTGTTCATTGTAGCTGTCAGTCACATTGCATAATGCTGCTCTCATGTAGATCAGGAGCAAAGTGGCACTAAGCTGCTGGATGGACATTTCAGGAGCTGTCTGCACACAGCCACCACTCCTCTCTCTCTCTCTCTGTGTGGTGGAATGAGTTTAGCATTTATGGATTAATAATAATATCACTCTATCCTCTGTTGGCTCGGAGCTTTTCTGCTTTAATCTGCAGCCACAGTAGAATAACAGCTGTGCTCTGCCTGTTTCTATTCTCTCCCCACAACACACTGATAAAAGCTGCACGTGTGGAACTATAGCTGAAAGAAAGTCTGATATGCCTTATAACAAAAGAAAGAATCAACGGGTTTTATGGAAATTGAGTCTTGGATTTGAGTCATCTTGCAGTCTGAGCATTTCCATACAAAGAACCTTCAAGGGTCTACACCTAATAAATGACCTGAACTTCCAGCATTTCAAAGATCACGTCCTCAGAGTTTTCACCTTACCCTTCATGTGGCACCAGCTATAGCACGACCTTAATCCAGAACTGTTGTCATAACTAGTGCAGTGTTGAATAAATCACAACAGTGCTCTCCATAAGAAAGAGCAGCTGTTAAAAGGTACAAAACAAAGAAGCAATCACCAAGTCAGCACTGTGATTGGTACACACAACACACTGGGTGTTGCTGCAACAACACAAAAACTCCATCATGTTACCGAAGTGTTGGACCGACAGACCGACCATTAACCATATCACATTACTGTCCTGAGCCAGGTGCTAGATTTGCTAAATTACAAACAGCTGAGAAACTCTTCCAGAGAACAAACCTTCAAAACACGATGTGCCGAAATCAAGCAGCTGCAGACTGAACGTGGTGTTCTAGCAATGTCAACACACTTCATGCTTTTGCGCCTCCTTTTCCTACCTGGCCTCTATGTGGTCAAACAGATGCTGCCAGCGGTCGTTTATGTCCTTCAGCTTGTCATTGATCTCCGTCTCCTTTGTCTTGTTGCTGGCGGTGATGAGTTGTTCTCCGAGCTGCTTCAGGTGCGTTTTGTTTTCGCTGAACAGGTTGATCTCCTCCATACAGTCCTGATTGAAGAAAAGAAAAGGGATAAGTGTGTGACAGTTCACATTTCCAACTAAAGTGATTATGTACATATACATAATCATGTAAATAAGGTGACACATTATCATTAGGCTTCGGCCGATATTCAATAATACATGAAATATTTTTCAAAATATCGATTTAATTAAAATAGTTTTGCAGTCTGCACTGCTTCCGAGTCTGACCCTCATTTCACTGCTTTGCTTACTGCACATTGTACATAATGTAATTACATCGTCCAGCCCAAATATTGCAATAATATCGTATATCGGTAAATTTGGGCTGAGACATTAAATTAAGATACTGAGTTTTGGATATCGTCCAAGCCCAATTATCATCACTTTAAGTCTGACATTAAGGACAGATTCAGCTTTCTAGTGACTAAAATGAAGATAAATACAACCATTAATCAAACTATATACTAAGTATTAATTTGTTTTTCCCCTAAAAGCACTAACTGTGTACACTAACGTGTGACGTGACACTACTTACTACAATTATAACTGGAAATTCACCATTTCACAATCCACATTTTTGTATGTCTAAAAAGAGTGTAAAAGTAAAATCCTTATTTTACTCTTGATGATTCCTGACTTTAGAAATTTGCCAGAAACGAATACAGCTCCTGAGAGACTCCAGACTCTGTGTGCCAGGCCAAAACACTAAATTTAAAGCCCCAGGGCCTGAAAAGAGTTTAACCCCCTGCCAGGGCAATAAGTAGTTTGGGCTTCAGGAGCAGCAACTGCCTTTACTAACCTCCAACTACCTCCTGGTCATCCCCCACCCCACACACACACACACACACACACACACACACCATAACAAATGAAAGGGCCCCCGAGTTCGACACAAAACAAACCCGCGTGGCCCTGCTAGGGCTGAAACAGCTGTCGTCTCTTTAACAATCAGAAGGGAGTTCACGGCTTTTTGAAAAGCCCTGACCATCCCCCGACACAGAGCAGCTCAGAGGATGAGTGACACAGCAAAAAAAAAAAAACATGGTGGAGAAGTAAAACACACAAAACCAAACTGCATGGTCCACCTCACCTTTAAACTTTTCTCAATTTGTGTCTCTCTGATAAACTGTCAATATATTGACAATATAATTCTTAACACTGTAGCATGATTCATTTTCACTATCACAAATATCATAATATAATAAGAAAGTTTGTGTCTGAGAAAGTTGGAGACACTTAAATGGAGGAAGAAGGTTAAATATCTTTTCTCCTTTATGTTTCAAGGCTCTTCTTGTTCATATGGCTCTGTTACTTTAAATCCATGTTCTCTTTAAAGGAGATTTTCAAAACATATATTAAAATATAACTAGAACACACTCACATAACTCTTACCTCTGGCTTGCTGCACAATCTTTCAAAATTATAATTTTGACAATAAAAAAAAATGTTTTCCATCTTCTTACTCATCACAAAAAACTTTCCACAAAATCCTTTCCAAACAAAAAAACACCGTCTCATTCACACAGTGACTTTGATCACCAGCTCTGATGCAAGATGGAATTTACAGCCACCTAAATATGTGAAGTGGCACTTCTCTAAACCCACTATAACCAGTAGCTAAGTATCTATTGTTATCACAATGACGGATGGGGCTGTGCCTCTGCTGCAGCCTCCTACCTTCTTGAGTTTCTCCACCATCTCCTCTATGTTGAGGTCGGAGTTGTGCGCCACCTTGTTCTCCATCTGCGTTAGCCATTCACACAGCTCCTTGTTCTTCTCATTGAAGATGATCCACGCGTTCAGACGGTCCGCGATCTCCTGTTTACGCAGAGACACCTGACACAAAGAGGATTGCAGGACATGAATTTAATAAGCTTTATTAATTAAAGATGCTTAGCAGCACTGTGTCTGCATATCTTATTTATGATATTGATGCAGCTCATGCATCAGTCTCATTATCTGAACATAATTTTAATTTGATTTGATTTGATTGGAAGTGGTGATGACTCCATTGCTGAAGACAACTTACACCAGAGTCAATACAACTCATGAACTAAAGTTTTGATTCAGATGAAGTTTTGAGGCCTAGACTAAATGAATCAGTTTTTATCCCGATAATGGTTTAGGCTTAACAAAATAACTCGATATGCTTGTAAAAAGTTTTCAAAACAAAAAAATCACTGAATTTTGAGTGTGGCTAAGAGCATCATTGAACCAGGCAGGCTGTTAGCTGACAGAGCAGCATTAAACAACTTACAGGTGGTGTAGTGATGTAGGCGCAGCACACAGAGCTGCAGTGAGTTTATTTTCTAATTCACCTCAGTCAGAAGCAATCAGGTTGGTTGAACTGACGGTACTTGACACTGATACACCAACAACACAAATACCTACACACAGGCATGAATGAAAACATAGTCACACACAAGCAATACACATGCAGTCATACATATTATCCCCATTTGAGACTGTCTCATGCACTGCACGACAAGTTTTAGAGAAAAAAAAAAGCTCTTCCTCACAGGTGAGAAAGTTCAATCAGAAAAACTATCTTTTTTTAACCTTCACTCTTAAAAGCATTTCCTCTTGTAAACATGTTGACGGCTTTCTCCTTTTGTTTTTGTTCTTCAACATTTTACAAAAATTCCAGCATTTGTCAATTATTTTACAGCCTTCTTTAGATGTTGGTTTTGTATGGCGAAGATGAAGCCAAGTTGTGACAAATTCCTGGCTCAGACAGTAAAAAGTGAAAGTCGGTGTGATCACCCCCCCCACTTATTTTACTACAAAAGCTCCTCTTCCTGATGTCTTTCAGCTCATTTCAACATTTCTCTCATGTCACCATCTGTTCCCCCCACTCACACAATGCCCCTCACTGTCACCCCTAACAACCCCCCCACCCAGACCTGTAGTCGCCCTTTAAAGTCTGACTAAGATTTACTAATTTAACTCCTCATTAAAGGCTTAGATTTTGAACACTGATGACTGGGAAACTTACAACAAAGACACCGAGCTAAAAGCACAATGCACACTAACATGTAGTGCAGCATTATACACTGTAGATGTGAGGACTGCCACAAACATGTCAGGTGACTGTTCTCTTCAACAACTTTTGATCTAATGAAGAAAACTAGAACAACACTCAGTAGAGCACTTAACTCTGCCAAGCCCAAATGATCCTACATATGTCTGTCAGCTCTGGATTATTATCTCAATCTGCACCAGATTTTACAAACTAATAGATCTAAACATCATAAATATGTCTGTTTTTTTTTTTTACATCAAGATCCAAACATTGTTTCTTGAGAAAGTGTCAAAAAATGTCCTATCTCGCAATGTTTAGGAAAGTGAAAAGTCCTGGATCTGCCCCTTTAACTGGATCAGAACGTTAAGTTAATGAATGAGTTCATGTTTCATCCCTCCAACAAGTTTGATTGGTTCGGCACTTTTTGCGTAATCCTGCTGACAGACAGACAAACAAACAAACAGACAAACAAACAAACAAACCTACACGAGTGAAAACATAACCTCCTTGCAGGAGGTAATTAAGCTTCTGCATTAAGCCTCTGCACAAACTTTTCCCTCCCTTGTTCTCTTTGTCCTGGAGCAGTTTGAGGAGCTAAATTGTCACGCTTGACCTGCTGCTGTCCCAAAACACACGCGCGCACACACACACACACACACACACACACACACACACACACACTAAAAAACACAAAGTGACTGACTGTTTGGACTGGTGGTTACATATGTTAGTTCTTTAATAATTAACTTTCTTCAATCGACAGCAGGGAAACTTGTCAGAGCTGGACAAAGGACAGATGTTAAAAATGGGAGTGTTTGTGTCTTGCACCTCCTCAGTGCAGTTGACATGAACTCCTGCTCTCACACCGTGACTGTGAAGCCATTCCATTTAAGCACGAGTTAAATCTTGAAAATTTGAATTAACGTCATTTGATGCAAGCCAGATTACACATATCACTTAAAATACAACTGTCCCACCAGCAGGAGAGTCAATCCTGACTCACACTGTGCAGCCAAACATTGTTCAAATCCACACAACTTTATTTCTAATTATGGTGGAGATCCCTAAGTTTCTAAAGATGTCACATATGCCAGGCTGAATTGGGGAAATGCATATACAATGATGCTGAAGACATGTAGAATATGTCCATATGATGGTTTGGTGCAGCCAATTATCATACAGCTACTTGAAGAGGATATTCAAGGAAATATCATGTTAAGGAGTGAAAAATGGGTCCTAGGATGAAAACTATAGCAACATCATGCGCTCTCACTAAGCGCTGTATAAACCTCTGCACCAGTGATTCATTAAAATACGAGCTTTTTAAATTTTTTGACAAAGGTGGTGAATGAACTTGCTGATGTTTTCCCATAACCTCCACAGAACCACAAAGTTAAGCACTTCCAGTAAGTAAAGAGCAAAATGAAGATACTGCCGGGTATCAGTTGAAACAAAGCATAAGGAATAAAGCAAAATCAAAGCAGATAAATAAAGATGCAGTTTATCAAAAGATGACTGAAGTCAGATTTCAGCTTGAGGTAGGAGTGTAGTGTATCAAACCCAGAAGACCAACCTTGAGGCAGAGTTCCTCCCACTGGCAGTGCAGGTGCTCCACCTGCTCCTGCAGCAGCAGGACGTCGTCTGCGATGATGTACTGGGACAGATCCGTCTTCATGGTGCTCAGCTCCGTCAGGCTCTCAGCCCAGTCCTCCAGGGAGTCCTCGGTCTCCTGCATACCATAGCACACCGTCCACCACAACAAACTGTCAGTGACCCCCTCCACAGCTCGCTCTTTCACAACTACTCCCTAATGTCTCTCTCTCTGCTCCGGCCCCTTTCTCTTTCTATCTCTGTCACTCTTCTCTCTCTCTTTTTCTCTCTCTCTCTCTCTCTCTCCCCGCCCAGAGAGAGGATTAAGGCCCACAGGCTGCAGGCCGGGCCGGGGGAGGGGTGACTGTTGAGGGGGAGGGGAGGAGAGTGAGGGAGGGGTGTGGGATAAGGGCTCTGATGGGTCAGAGAGGATGAGTTGTTGAGTCAAACCTGTTTCAAACTTGGCTTTGCTCACTTGAAACTTTAAGTGACTGTTTCCCTCCAACCTCAAACTGCCTGAAGGCGACTTTTCTGTGTGTAGTGTCTGTCGTTCACTGATGTCTCTACACTCGGCTTTGAGCTATTCATTTCAGCTTTTATAAGTTCATTTATCTGTGTTTAACTTCACCCGCCAACACTATGTAGAGCTTTCAGACTGATGGCACTATGGAGAGTTACATGAATATGAATTAGAGTAACTGACTTACTGAAGGAAGAGTTTGACACTTTGCTTAATTGTTTTCTTTCAGTGAGTTAGATGAGAAGACTGATAACACTGTTATATCAGCCTGCAGGAGAAGGTTAACTTATCTTAGCATATAGAATGGGTGTAAACAGCTAGCCTGGCTCTGTACTAAGGTAAAAAAATCTTGCTATCAGCACCCTTATAAAGCTCACTAATTGACATTGTTATGTCTAATTAGTTCTATTATCTGTACAAAGGCCAGACCAGGTGTTTGCAGCTGTACCTTGTTGAACTTCTCCGCACTCTGCAGCTCATCGTCAAACTCAGGCATCGACTGGTTCAGTCTGGTCTTCACGTCCTTTAGCTGCAGCATGCTGTTTGCTAGTCCCACCTCGCAGCGCTCCCAGTTCTGAGACACAATAAAGTTTTAAAGAAAAAACAAACAAATTGATGACACAGATCAATGAAATGGGTTCTTATTAACTGATTGGCTTTGAGAATGACAAGAGAACCATTGCATTCCTTTGTCTTTTACTTCCTAAACGCATCCTGTGTCATTAATTAAAGCTGATTGGATTAACTTTGCTGCTCGCAGGTAAACAGAAACCGTCACAGGCTGCAGGGGACAGATGGAGGACGGAGGATCCAGATGTCTCCACACTCAGAGACATCTGGTGTCAAACAAAAACTCAGTCTTGCATCATGGTTGCATTTCACATCTACCTGCAACTCATTCAGAAAGAAAATGAAAAGGTTTTGCAAAGATTTACAAAACCATTAGTTTGCTGCACCATCTGTGGAGTATTTCTTAATTCCTGTTTGTCATGAGTCTTTCCTGCAACATGTAAGCTTCTGATAAACCAGGACAGAGTAGACTGGATGTGCGCTATGTTTAGCTGGTCTGCTACATAACAGTAAAAAGTGTGGGACAATTTAGAAACTATTGGGTTTATGAATATTTTTGTGCCTTTAAACACGTCAAAACTTTCCAGATTCTTTAAAAAAACTTCTGTTTAACAGCAAAATTGAATGTATTGAATAACCCACAGCACAAGGCTATAGTATGCCTGGGCAGCATCTGTGTGTGGGAGTGTGTAAGAATATAATCCCACTTCCTTCGTTTCTTTCCATCTCTGTAATGAACAAGAAGTAACAACTGTCACAGAGCGTTCAAGACTTAAGTGCATCTTTGGATTTATATATATGAAAAAACACTAATTTAAATTGGAATCTGAGAGTATGATAGAAATTACTTCACAAATGGTCACATTTTGTCGTAATTCACAGGAATACTAATAAAATATAACATATTGGACCTTTTGGTCAAATCCAATAAAATTCTGACACTTTTCAGCTTGAACCGAAGAACAGGAGAATACAATCCATACAGGGTGATGTAACTGTCTCGGGGGACATCAGTCCAGCACTTTCACTGCCTCACTCTGTGAACGAACAGATCAGGTTTCTTAAATTCCATTGATTTTGTATATCCGGTGGAATCTGACCCTCCAGTTTCATCGATTGGAGCCCACTGGTCTGGTTTCACACAACTGAGCCCTCGGCACAAAAGACTCATCCACTGATGACAATTCACAGGTCAAGAAGTGAGATATAATACACATTCTGATGTGAGATTTGTCCCAATGTTTAATTTATACAATGTCCAAAACATGTTGCAGAATCCTTGATACTTTAACTGGTTCAGTAGAACCACAGTGAGATACAAGAATTTGACAGGAAGTGACCAAGTACCTTGACGATGGCTTCGGTGAGGTCCATCCTCCGGCCCAGCAGGCTGTGGAGGTTGTCCCACTCCTCCTGCAGGGTTCCCAGGTCTGTCTGTAGCTGAGTCTGGGTCTCCTCGTCCCCCATGGAGAAGAGCTGCCGGCCGACCTCGAGAGTGTGGATGAAACTGCACTGATACCTCTGGAACAACAGCTCTGTGTGCTGAGGAGGAGGAGGGAGGAGAGACAGGGTTAAATATGGTTTTAAAGAGGGAGGGGAAAGGAGGGAAAGATAGAAATCTAACCAACTGTTTGTGCTGCTGCAGTTTAAATGGGTAATCCAGTTAGTTACAGGCACACTAGTTGCTTTTATTGAGGAGTGACTATTAACAGGCTGAAGGAGAAGAAAGTTATCTGATTACTGTATCTTCATTCATAATCAATTCCAATCTCCTCACTCCCCTTTGATGGGAATCAAAGGCTCAAAAAGAATCAGAATGGGAAGACTCTCTTCCTCATCTCATTTGTCTTTCTTTTCATGTAAATGCAATCAGTAACATTTGTTTCTTAGTCTTTATATCTTAAATCAGCCCCCAGGCTCAGCTTTAAGCAGCTGGCTTCTGTCCTATTTGTGTCTGACTAGTCTTCATCTGAATAAACAACCAATAACAACTCCCTGCATGGATCTTTTACAGTTGTTTTTAAAATTAGAGACACAAATTTCAGGTCAAGAGCCTCATCTCCACCATAGTCAGGCTGAGTTATTAAGCCAGTTTCTATGTCCCCTTAAAGTGACTTCATTATAAAATCCTCCTATGTTCACTTACCCCCTCACAAAATTTAGAAAATTCTCATATTTCCCGTATCTGGCATTCACTATAAATGCCATGATATTCCTGACTTGTGTCTAACCTGGAGGTCTTGCAGGGAGCGTCTGAGCTGCTGCAGGCTGCAGCGGGCTGGTCCGGAGGGGGGAAGGAAGGTATGTGTGTCCGACAGGAACTTCTGCAGCTTCCTCAGGCTGCGGGTGTACAGGTGCCAGTGCTTCACCAGCCCCTCCACCAGGGAGCGCCGCTGGTCGGCACGCTGCACCGCCCCTTGCCAGTGTTCTCTGAGCTGGGCCAACTTCAGGATAAAGTCACTCCTGTAAACACAAACTCAATTAAGTGTCATTCAAGATGAGCTATTTTATATTTAAAAGACGTTTTATATGGCAGCATTTTTGTTTGTGCTTCACCCTCTCTTTACTTAAAGGAATTGCTCTACAGTTTGATCTTCCTACCTGTCGTCCACCTCTCCTTTCTGCAGCAGATGAAGAGCTTCAGTGATCACCGAGTGGAGGATCTGGTGACCAGTGGACAGCTCTGCCTGAAACCTCTGAAACACCAGGACAGATCATGATTACATCTGTGTGTTTGCAGTGTTTTTGTTAAGTCTGTCAGTGAGCCTGTTAATCATGCTTTGATACCTTGTGTATACGGAGCTGCTGTCTGAGGCCGATGTAAGAGCCGGCCACATCCACAGCCAGACTGTCCTCCATCCTCTGCAGGAAAGACATCCAGCTCTCACACTTCTGTTCAAAGCTCTGCTGCCTCAGCGCCTCAGTCTGCAGCTCACTGTGCACACAAAAAACTGAATGAACAACGCTCCATCACAGTTTATTTCACGATTATATAACTGTTTTTAGCCTTATAAACCCTGTAATATCCCTCTGAAGTTAGAGAAATTTCCTTTTAAAGGTTTGTGTTTGTTATATAAACCATTCACTGTGACAGTTTCGTGAATTGCCTTTGTTTTAGCTTAACAACAAACCTTCAAATATGATACTTATTCAGGTCTGAGTTATTGGAAGTGTCTTAAATTAAAGTGGAAGTAGAGATTTTGGTGCAAAAGCAAAGTGAGTTTTCATTCTAAGCAGGGGCTAACAATAATAAAACCACTGTTTGTGATCAACATCTTTGTCTTAATCTCCTCACGATTTTAACATGTCACCAGACTAATGTTAATGATAGTCAGTACAATACAACGAATCAAACCACTTAATTTGCAAAAATGATATTCTATAATCAAATATTTTCAGTTTTAATTGTTTACAGTAATTTTTCCTTATTGATTTTGTTCCCAGATGCAAATAATGAAATAACTGAGATTAAATATAAATCAGCAGTTTTACATACAGATCCTTGTTGCTGTTGTCGTTGGTAACTGGATGAAAATTCTCCAAACTTGTGGCATAATTTTCCACAAAAACATAATCTAGATATGTACTGAGTAACTGAGTCTCAATCTGCTGATGAGGATCATGGGATATAACCATGTGCTCATTTAGCTGTTATCATGTATCAGCCTTCCTCCCTCACTGACCTGCAGGCCTCCTCAGCTCTGGCGGCGGTATCGGCCCAGCGGTGGTTGAGGCGTTGCAGGTAGCGTGCTGCAGCGTCACCCACTGTCAGGCTGCAGCTCAGCTCATTCAGCACATCCAGGTCAGCAGAGAGGCCGCTCAGCTCCAGGATGCCAGACTGGGAACATATGGTGGCACCAAAGACTCAGAGGGATCACAGCAGTCTGGACTACTGCACGCATGACATCACAGCCGAAGACCAAAACACTACACGCTACATATACTGTGTTCTTTGTCCCGATTTAGTCGTCTGGTATTCTGAGTTTTCTGCTTCTTTTTACTGTCATTTCACTTCTTATCAAAGATTAAAAAACTCATCAGAGATCCACTTTTCTACTAACATAAAAATGTAATGGTCATTCTGATTCAAAATAAATAAAAAAATGTCCATTTAAACACATCTTTAGGTCTATAATGAGTCCTAAAAATGTCAAAATATCTCTCAGGTGAGAATATTTCATCCTGCATCCAACAGAAACGAACTCACAGAAATTAGAGATTTAGATTTCTTTCTTGACTTTGGAAAGAGAAGTTGTCATCATCAATATGAAGTGTACAATATCCATCTGTTTATCTTGATACAAGACAGAATAAAACACTAGAATCACTTGAAGCATAAAAATGACATTTGATTCTAGAGAAACCTTGAAACATGACGATTTGTCTTGAGTACAGCTTGAAAAATTCAGTCACAATTTTTTGTTCGAAGAAAATAACATTTTCAGATTCAATAATGCAGAAACAAATGGTGCTGTGACTATAATTTCCACCTTGACCAAAGATGATATTTCTAGCCACAATATATTTAACACATAGACACCTTTGTTACAGTGTAAAAGTCCATGGTTGAAGACATACCAGTGCTGCAGTCATTCATAATCTCCACTCACCTGATCTGCTATCTGAGCCACATTCTCCAGACGCTGCTGCCAGACCTCCAGGTTTCTCTCCAGTGATTCCAGGATGTTCCCAAACTCCTGCAGCCGCTTGAGCTCCTCCTACATGCAAACATGACAACATGGCACAAGGCCATATGTGTCTTAATTTATAGGTCACTGTGATGCTTAGTGCACTCAGGTGTCAGGCTGGGGAAGAAATGCAGAGTGAGTACATCTCTCTGACAGAGTATGTGCTTTAGTGTGTTCAAGAACATGAAGATTAATTAAAATCTATCTTGTATTTGGCTTTACACTTTATCAACAATGAAAAATAACAATAAAGTGAATAAAATCCCTTTGGATGAGCAAAAACCATCAGTTATGATGTTAGGCAGGTTAGAGAAAAACATAATAAGGAGGTGGTTACAATGAAAAGCTGACATTTTAGGTTTTCAAACACAAAAATTCACTAAATCATGCAACTTTTCTTGTAACAGCCTTTATCTAACAAGTCTTTGCACTTCTGTAAGACACAGCGGATATAAAACGCCCACTTTACAAAATCCCACAAACACACAAATCCATTCATGAAGTTGTACCTTCTGTTGACCCAGCTTCCCTGTCAGAGTCTGGCTGAGCTGCAAGACACCACGGGACAACAACCTGCTCTCTGATTGGACAAGACTGGCAGCTGAAGGTTCCAGGTGGTTAATCAAGTCCTTGGAAGCATCCAGCACCCCCTCCAGGTCGGACTGCAAAGTGTCTGTCCTCTCTAGGAGTCTCTGAAGAAAAAGAAAAAGGATTGAAGAGTTTCCACAGAATGTACTGTCAGTGTGGAAAGATCCCTCTCAGCTGAAGAGCCTGGACTGTTTCCTGAGCACTCCTCGAGGAAATCAGAAGAACTAGCTGTAGTTAAAAAAATACAGACAGTGCAAAAAATCTGTACATTCATGAGGAAGTGACAAGTAAACGAGCATAAAAACTGCTCGTCAGAAATGTAATTCAATGCACAGCTCTGTTCAGACACCATAAACAAACCAGCACACACGGCAAGTGAACACTTTGATGAGTTTTTCTCCAAAAACAGTTAACTAAAATCTTAATTTTAAAAAATTAACTTTGCATTGTGTGAATGTGCAAGTGCAAGACAGAATAAATCTTAACTCAAGGTCTTCTAACTAGCTTTTCAAGGAATCTTAACTACTGGAGATCGCACAAGCAAGATCCATCCACCGAGGAAGGCGAGGAGATGAAGCTGAAAGCTCCAGAAAAAGCTAATAAGTGGATCTTAAGTTAATATTTACTACTACTGTTCCCAAGGTCAAGAATGAAATTAAATGTTGATATCTGTTCAGTGCAATTATGTGCTTAAGTGAAACAAAAACAAAAACACAAATCATCTACAGAAATGATTATGGTAAAAATAAGAAACAGGCCACTTTTTTATTCAGTTCTACACTTCACTCTCCAAAATATGGATATGTGACATAAAACAGTTAAAGTTAAGAAAACAAATTGAAAAAGATTAGAGCTGTTGGAAAAACAAACTTAATGTACATGTTTTGTATTTTATGTTTCTACTTTTTGTATATTTCAATTTTATGCTGAGAAGTTTTTCCCTCTCACCTGAACATTGTGAATCTTGTCAGCGACTTGCTCCACAGTGATGTCGTCGCCGGGCGCTGCGCTCAGAGCAGACGTGACGTCACTCTGCAGCGTCTGCAGCCGCTGGGAGAAAGACTCAGCCCGCCCGGCGTAGACCTCCCAGACCTGCAGGATCCCCCGGCTCCTCCGGAGCTGCTGGTTCAGAGCTGCACACACCTCAGTCCAACTGAAAAACAAGAGATTGAGTGTGAGAGAGTGAATCTGTGTGTGTTGTTTGTGTGTGCCTGCGGGTGTCTGTCTCACCTGTCTCTCTGTCTGTCCAGCTGCTCAGTGAGGAGGACAGCGGCAGGGCTCACGATGTCTCTGAGGGAGGAGACGGTTTGACTCAGTTCATCCCACTCTGCCGCCGAAGCTTTGGTCTCCTCATGAAGAAGCTGCTCACAACACAACAAACACCACCATCAGTCATCACAGGTGCAATGTCCAAACAGGATTTAAATATGAATCATTAACCAATCCTCTTTCTGCACTTTAATGTGAGATTGTGGAATAAAGTCCAAACATGATGTCTTTGAACATCTACTGTCCCAATATTTACATTTTCAAATCAGATATGGAAAGCACCAGTCTGACCTGTAGCTTTTCATGGAGATCTCTGTGCGCCTGCAGGGAGAGCTGAGGGCTGCTGTGATAATCCAGACTCTGAGAAATTCTCACTGTTTTCAGCTTCATGTGATTCAGGCTTTTCTCCACACAGTCCCACAGCTGCTGAGCCTGAACCAGCCTCTGTCTCATTGACTCATTCTGTATGAGACACAAGCAAATACCAAACAGTTATGATCTAAGAGACTTTAGTCTTTACAAAGACTTCATCACAAAGACTGGATCTAAAGCAAGTTCAAAACCAAAGAACTACAGTTTGATATGATGAACACATTCTGCATATGTTTATTTTTCAATGCTACATGTACTTCTTGTGTTCATTTCTTCCAGTAAAAACTGTTGCTGAGACATTTGCCTTCTACATTTTTTACCTGTAGTGTGAGAGCTGCACAGGCCCGGATGGATTTATCTGTCTGAGAGATAAAATCACAGCTGCTGTTTCCTCCTTCGCCACAAAGTTTGTCTCTCAGGTCCTGAAGAGCTGCAGACTTCTGCCTGATCTTCTCCTCCAGGCCCTGATACACAGACGAGAGAAGATTTAACCACCTGCAGACTTGAAAAGGATATCTAGCTTTTTTGTTTTTCTTTGCAAAAGCCTTCAGCCAACATGATTCATCACGACTGAAATATTAAACCCGAAATAGCGAAGGTGCTCCGGGTGGCACATATGTCAGAGGACAGGTGTGAGTCCTGACCTGGCAGGTGTTGATGCTCCTCTGCAGCTCTGTCTGGCTGCTCAGTTTCTGAGCTGAGTCCATCCAGAGGCTCTGAGCTGTGATCCAGCTGTTGATCTGCTGCAGTCGAGCCTCACGCTCTGCTCTGTTCCTCAAATCCTGCTCCAGCTCCTGGATCTGAAATTCACAAACACTGACAGCAGGTCAGACACATTTCTTCTGACTTGAGACAATTCTAAAAGATCCGAAGTTGTTGAGCAAAACTTATGACAGTAAAGCTTTGTTGAGCTTTATTTAACAGTGAAAAGATTATTGTTGTGTTGTGATTTTTTTTGTCACAGTCCGATGTTTGTCTTCTGACCTGAGAGTTGAGGGTTTCCTGTAAACTGAGCCACCGATGGTTAAGATGACCCATGTCCTCTGCAAACTGGTTGTGTTCGTAGCGCCCCCTCTGGCCATCCTCAGTACCACAGGTCTGCAATGGCTGGTTCACATAGTCCAGTGTGGCCTGATGGGTCGACATCTCAACCTGACACTCCTGAGAGAGAAGTCGTGGATGGAGAGAGAGAGAGAGTCAGTCATCCAGATACACAAGTAAACTGACAAACTTCTACCAGGACCTCAGGATTGTACTTTACAACGTGCACTAAAAACAACCCACCACTGTGTGAGAACACTTCAGTAATCAGGATATTTAAGAAGATTATTTGCGGCAGTTCATCAATTAGTCCAACTCTACCTTGCAGTGCTTTAGGAACTGCATGAAGTCAGTGTTTGTGGAGGATGTTTGGTTGATCCTGCTGCGTTTGTCCTGCAGCTTAGATTCAGCAGCTCCAAGCCAGCACTGCAGCTCCAGCAGCGCCTCCTGCTGGGTCACCATCTTAATCCACCACTGAGGAGGAGGAGCAGAAGGGAGTGACGTCAATCTTCATCGACTTTGCCAAAAAATTACAAACCACAACTAAATTCCTTATTCCACAGAATTTTAGACTCTTTTATTTTACTATCAGTAAAATAAATTAAGATTCATGTGATTTCTCTCTAGTGTTTGTTTCAAATTGTGTGATAAATAAAGATAAAGTTGAACTTAAACTAGAAAAGGAAGGTGAGTTAGGGTTCAAAAAGCCGAGGGAGATGAAGAGACGAGGGGTGTGAGAGAAGAAGAAAGACTATGATTCAGAAGAGCAGACAGAAACTGAGGTAGAGAGGAACAGAAAGTAATGAAAGCAGCAGGATGAGGGAGATGAGAGGGAACGAAGAAGAAGGAGAGAGAAATAGGAGGAGAGCTGATGGAAGATGGGATAGAAAAGCAGAGGGAGGAGAGAGCATGGAAGAAAAGATTGGTAAGGAGAAGAGGAAGGATCCAGACAGATAGAGGGGGTGGGGGGGGGGGGGGGGGGGTGGATGGTTTCACACCAAAAAGGGCGAGAAGAGTCCTCAGGTTGGCATTGTGCTGCACAGTGGGGTTGTTGAAAACTGCAGCGTGGTTTTTGAAAATATTAAACTACACTGTAAAAAAAAAAAAACTAAAAAAATCAAGAAAACCAGAAAAAAGTCAAGAAACATTCAGAAAAAGTAGAAAAGAAATAATTTTGATAAAATCGACTTTGTTCAAGTGAGAATTACACATTAAAACACACCTTTCTGTTAGAGCCTGTGGTTTACATTCACCTTATGGACGTCACACGGGGAATCTCCTCACCTTATGCAGAGCTTGCTGGACGACGGTAACGTCAGTCAACAGACGGGACCAGTCCACCTCTACCTCTCTGAGCTGGGAGTGGATGGAGCAGAGATGTGGCTCTGAAGCCTCTTCATTCTCCAGATTTCTTTCTGAGTACCCGTCTGCCTCCCTCATCTGGAGCAGCTGGGAACCGGCACCAATCACTGCCACCTTCAGTTCAGATCTGACCTCCAACTCTTTGGTCAAAGCCTAAAGTATATAAACTGTTTGGTTATATACTGTTTTCCACAAATGCAAAAATGATCATAATATAGTTTGTCTGTGGGGTTTGACAGGGTCATTGATCAACATCATTCACTCAGAGATTAACTGACCTGGTACCAAAACATCTGGAATTCTCAACTCAGTTT